TGCTGAACTCAATAAATGTTCATTATGTGTGGACACAGCACAGGATTATCATTAGGGGTATATATAGGTGGGCTGCATGGTGGGACAGTTGTTAGCATTTTTAAATCCGGGTTAGGAGCTTTAAGAGCTACAAACTTTTTGCACAGTGTTTACATGTTTTCCTGCAGTTTGAAAAGAATCTACCTTTCAAATAACTTTTAGTGTTGAGTGTGTGTGCACCTGGTTGCTTGTTCTATGTGTCTCCTATGATGTACTGTCCTTTGTATGTTCAGCGATGGGGAGTGGACTTCTAATGTCTACAATGGATATCTCTAAAAAAATTGTATCTATGGTGCACAGTTTATGAAAAAAAAATTGAGACGCATTAGAAAATGTAATGCTTTCCTAGTGTTACATTTTGTTTTGCTTAATTGATGAGGAAGTGGACAAGTTTTATAGAGCACGCGATACAACGACGTGTTCACGATCGATCTATTGTGAACACGTTGATACATCGATGTGTTCACGCAAGAGCGTTCACTGACTGACGGCAGAAGTCTGAAATAAGAGAAGCCAATTTAAAATATGACAGAAGAAACATGGAAATGAAACACAGATCAAACATAATAGAAATGGTCACAGGAGACGGAAAGTTGTGATTTCTTGAGCCGCCATGTGAAAGGTGTGAACCAAGTTGGTTTGCAGAGTGACGCGGGAACCGCGGGATAGTCCTCCAGTCAGTCCCTCAGTGTATCTCAGACATTGCCAGTCTTTTGATGCCGCGATGTTGGCTGAGCCGCGGCTGATAAATGAAGCCTCGAAAAGGCGGAGGAGGAACCTGCGAGTTTTCAAGGCACCTTCCTGTCAGGGTTTCTACATTTGGCTTTAATTTGCATATTTTCTGAGGCGGCGGTTTCTTCAAAGCTGCTAAAGTCAACATCAGAGAGCTTAGAGTCAACACACATTCAGTGGAAGGCAATTTGTAACGGTGCAAACAGCTATTAAGAGGATTTATCTCAGGACTCTTAAATGGTTTACATTTAAAACAAATGAATAAATGGAAGGCTTTTGACACCATACAAAATGCACTTCTCTTTAAGTTTTTTTTTTTTTTTTGCTTTTTTTTTTTATGTTGATGGATTGAACACAAGAGATGCTTTCATTTGCATAACCAAGGAAGAGGAGACGCCAACCCTTTGTCCTGCGTCTCACCGGGACTGTTGGTTCTGTAAAGTCAGGTTTTAATATTCCACCGAGGTAAATCCCTCCATGGTTTTGAGGTGCTGAAAGTAGACATACGGCATATATCAATGCGGCGGTATAAATCAGGCCAAGGGTAAGGCTCGGATTGAATAGAAAGCAGAATGAGCCAGGTTTTGAGTCTTGCAGGGGTAAAATAGGAACAGAGAGGAGGAAGAAGAAATCCTCCCTTTGCTGCGACAGGGCTCATGGATTTTTTAACCCCGCGCCTTCGACATCCTGCTGAACGGAACAAAAATAGGTACCTGTGTAATCGCTTTTGGCCCCGCTCCGGCTCAGACACACGAGGCGATTACTGGGTTTATCCAGCGGAGTGGAAGAGAGATGGAGAGAGACTTATTCAAAGAGAAACAGCCTTTTGGGGTCACTTTATTTTTAGCACATTTGACAAACTTTGGGACTTGTTCTGCCTGAGTCATGCTTAAAAAAAAACAACAACAAAAAAACAGAGGTACTCCTCTACAAATGAAGAACATGGCTCCCTTTCTTTCTTGCTGGTGCTTATTTAGACTAATGGCTGCATCGACACAAGGGGGAAATATATTACAGCTTTTAAGACCCAGAGAAGTTTCAGATCTGATAGATTACGGCTCCAGTCTGCATTATTGTCACCGATATTTATTATTTCCCCGCCCCAGATGCAACAAACAGCTCAGAAAGAGAATAACCTGCTAATTGCAGAGTATAAATTGCACACATATTTTACAGCGACGCAATTAAAAAGAGACCGGCCGCGGTGTCCCGGCTTCGGCGAATGACAATTTGTTCCGCAGCGAAGGTTAGTGCATTTTGATGCAGGAGGTCGCCACTGTTTACCGTTTAAGACAAACTGCTTCGTATAGATTTTAATTCATTACCGAGTCAAATCGGATTTATTCATAGTGAGGCTGCGACTGCTGGGGAGGTTTTTCCCCTTATTGTTTTAGAGTTTGCCTGCGATCGATGCCGGCACGCGTCATCATCGCAGCATCATCCACACTGATTTGGTACCTTGGGTAAAGATGTGCAAATGATATTAAACTCATACAGAAGAAGCATCGTCTCAAACCGAGTCACCATTTGTGCCAAAACAACAACGAAACAAACTGAACTGAAGATATTTCTAAGAAAACTGATATTTGTGATCATTTAGGTTAGTTTTTTCTATCTACTATAAATAATTATAAATGGAGAGTATAATAAAAGCCAAGAAACAAGAACAAAAAAAAGAAGTAGTTCATGTGGGTTAGATGTGTGCAAGTAAGAGCTCCAAGTAAAAGTTTGAAAAAAATTGCTTTTTTTAAAAAAAAAGAAGATAAATAAATAAATAAAAGCAATGAAATTTTAATTTATACCACAAAACTGCCATTGCTACTCAACGTTACAGTGTGGAAATCAACTATCGGCTCACAATTTATCAAAGTTTACAGCAGGTGGAAGTGTGACAAACGTATTACACAGCTGCACTTTTCCTCCATGTACACTAAGCGGGACGGAAATACGAAGGAAAGCAGTGGAAAAGCTTGCTTCTCTGAGAAAAGGTTAACTTTTACCAGAGTACTTTAACTTCTATCAAGGTTGCCAATACATGTGCATAATGCTGCTGCAAAAACACCTTTACTCTGAATAATTAAAGAAGTCGTTAGTTCCAAATAAGAAATAAGTATTGCAGTTTAAAACATACATAGAGATTTTTCTTTTTTTCGTAATTTGCTCAAGCACTTGATATCTCGCTGTGAGTTCACGTTTCATGATGTTTTTTTAGAAAAACGTCAACTTCCGAGGGGGAATTGGGGAGAAAGGTGTGAAAAGAAGGAAATGGGCCCAGAGAAAGGTATTTTGGAGCTTATCTGTTACATAAGAGCAGCTAATTGAAGCTTCCACCCTAAGGTCACAGGAGGACGTTGCTGCTGGCAATGGGAACAGGTTTCCCACTGGCGTTCAGGATGTGGATGAGGCAGACTGTCTTCCTGTTATTGTTCGGGAGACAGACGAGCTCACATGGTGCGACGCTTTCAAAAGTAACCTGAGAAAACACAAATACCCTTTATGAAGGGATGAAAGCTATTAAAACTGGACTGTTGAGTTCAACGCCACCCCAAAGTTTGATGCTTCAAGACCAGAAAAGCCAAGAAATGATATGAATAATACCCGTCTGAAAACAAAGTTGTTGCTACCAAAAGGTGCGACAGCCAGTTCAGTCAAGTTTTCCTCGTCTACTGTAATGTTGTGAGAAGACCGCCAAAAAGCAAGTGGTCTTTGGGAAGAAGGGCTGTGTGTACATTTTGACAGCACTGTGAATCTACAATCGTTGCAGCAGGTAAACGTGCGAGTCGCGTGTCTTCAGGCGTCCGTTCAAAATGATTGCGTTTTGTACAGTTTCCAGGTGACTGATTTTGTCTGAGGGGCAACATTTTATTGGGATCTAATGGAGCATGTCTTTCTCAAACCCCTAACTGCGTGTGTGTGTGTGTGTGTGTGTGTGTGTGTATTTGTTTTTAGCTGGAGCTCATCAGACACATGCTGGAATCAGCCTGGCTGAAGTACAAACTTGGCCCTCATGCATTGTGCTTGTAAGTAGTCCAACTTCCTCTTTTGAAAACTTTAACAGACTCCAATAGCAATGCTGTGTTTCCATGTGTGAAAGTTGCATAATCCTCTCAATTCTTTCTTTCCCCCCCCCCATTTGCCATCTGGTGTCCAGGGCGACGAAAGGCGGCCCGGCGGAGTGGGCCGTATTTCACTTCATAGTTCGGATCCTGGAGTCCGCCCGGAGTCTCTGCCTGCCTCTCCCACCCGGTACAGTCCAGATCACGGCTCCACTTGTCCTTCTAATCCCCGTTTCTTGTGTGAACCACAGAGAAAAAAAACACGCGTCTCCCAGCATCAGAACTGTGCATTAGCAGAACACGCTGACGAAGCTCTGGGAGAACACGAATGCATTTTCATTCATTTGAATTAATTTCACAGTGTTTGCAGTTGTTTGCTACATAATTCTTTCATTTTTTTTATTTATTTTTTTCCCTCCCACTCAGGAGTAAAACTTTAATTTTAAAAGTGAGGGCTCCAAGGTGCCGTTTCACAAATGTCGGCCTGCAATACATTGCATGAAACGCGTTCCACGACGTCAGCTTTACTCTGTCTCTCCCCCCTTCATTGTTTTCTCATTTCATCGGTTTGTTTCTCCAGGCTATCACACCCTGTTTGCTGTGTTCGCTGTTCGTTGCCTACCTCATCAAACCTTTCTACAGTACATTGACCACGGTTTCCTGCAGCTCACTGAAACCTTTGTGTCTCGTCTCATGACAGGTTTGTGCATAAATACGCATTTTTTAAGGGGCGGGCTTGGAAGTAGATCGCCTACGGTACTCTGAACAGTTTTGAAGTCGGCTTCTTTCAAGGATTTCCATTTGCAAACATCCTCCGTGCTGTCAGAAACGTGTTTCTTTTAATGTCGAATTCATTCGCTCAGTGTCAGACTGAGCTGCATAACAAATCGCACGTTGGTGACACCAAAGTTCTGACATGACGCAATCAAGTTCGCGGCTCAGTAAAACTTTCCATCTCATGGAAGCCAAACTGATCGAGTCTCTGACTTTGGAGCAATCTTTTACGCCGTTCAAGTTCATGGCGATAGTGGAAAGGAAAGAACAAGAAAAAACTCAGTAGATTTAAGTGTAAAGATTTAATTTTACCAACTTCTTTTTTCCACTGAAAGTCTCATTTCAGAACGACCCAGCAAGGATTTGATTCCAACGGAGAATAAATGAAGGGAACTCACAATTAGGGTGCTGGCAAGGGGGACTTTAAAGTAAATGTTCCAACTATTTCTGGGATTTGATATCTTTGGAAAACCCGCGGAATAAGCAAATAGAGAAAATGCAGAATGCTTGTCCAGCCTTCAAACATTTTAATAGCAAAACATGTCTTTACAGAAAGAAATGGTAGATAAATCCACACCAAAGTCATTGTTTATGTGGGATGTTTTTGTAACAGTGTTAATACCTCTATAAATTAAAAATGTGTAAAGGTTAGTTGTTAAGAACTGTCATTAAGAGCCATGAGAAAGAGCTTTCTCTTCTTCTCTCTGTCTCTCAGCTGATGCCGAGATGCAAAGAAATACAGCAGGGGGTTCAGACAGTGGTTTAAAAAGTACAAATACTCGACAGGCGTCAGATTCCTGCTGATGTCGGTCAACGTTTCTGAGGGCGTAAAATGGGAGGCGATGGCCACCAGGCGCGCAAACAGAGGCAAAAAGTCTATTAGAGAGACGGCGAGGATCCGAGTGAACAGCCTGTTGATCTTTTGCTTTTTCTTGTCAGACATCTGAACCTTCCTGACGCCTCTCACGAGCTTGACGTAAAACACCAACACCACGAGTTGAGCAGATGTCACTATAGCGACGTGGACCACCTCGGCATGCGGTTCGATCATTTTCTCCCGGCAGGACGTCTTCGTCTTGCCGGGTGCGGCGTCTCTGCTCGTCTTGTCCGTCAGTGAAAGCACAAGAGGGAGAGGCAGCAGGGCCCCGAGGACCCACACACTGGAGAGCAAAACCCGCTGCCATGCGCGGGTCACTTTTTTCCACTTGGCATGATGAAGAATCTGGGAAGCGGAAAATAGCTTTAGATATCCACTTACCACACAATAGTCACCGTGCATTTATGTTACTTAATGCTCCTCATTTTCTTGCAACTGTTATTACTTATTTCTTTCCAACTTCCTTATCCATTAGATATTGCAAGAATTTATCACTTCCTTACTACCCATTTATGAAACTCTGTATTTCAGTAACTAGTTACTTTACATAGTTTTGCTGGTGACTAGTGATCAACATGAAATAAAACCACGCGTTTCTGATTTGAAAGCAGACAAAGTAGTATTGGCAAAACTGATATTTGTCAGAAATGAATGTTTCTGAAGTAGAAGTACAAGCAGTGTGGTTACCCTTATTTTTTCCAAGTAATTATTTCTTGCAGTTTTGCAGTAGCACCGCTAAAAATGTTCAGCCTGTTGTCCGTTTTCCTACAAGGAGAAAGATTTTTTGTGTTGCGTACCTGGTAGTAACGTTGAACGCTTATCAGCAGCAGGATGTTGGAGCTGGAGGTTATGCAGAACAAGATGACGAAAAAGAAAAGTTGGCACAACCCGTGCGCCAAATGGGGCCCGGTGGCAAAGATGGCCCCGGCGATCACCAGGCAGAACAGCGAGAGGAGGTCCGACAGAGCCAGGTTGAAGATGAGGCGCTTCGTCATGGAGGAGCCTCGCAGATGCCTGCTGAGCTTCACGATCATGAGGATGTTGGTCGGGATTCCCACAAGGCAGCTGAGCACAGCAATCACGCCGGCGACAACGTACGACGGATCGCTGTCGGTCAACAGAGATGCTACAGAGGTGGAGCCGTTGGCGTTTGAGAAGGAAAACGGCGTTTCAGTGACGGAGGCCATTGTGGAAGAGAAGGAGAGAAGCTGCAGAGCTGTATCTGTTGTCAGGCTACGGTTGAGTGAATGCGTCGCATCGTCTGAGAAGGGCATTGACTTATTCTGCAGAAGGTGTCGCACTAGTGGTTTGTGGTCTTGGTATGTAATTCAGGACAGCATTTATTGATTGCAGGGGCTTGACTTTGGTTACGCAACTACAGTTTGCAGAAGACACAGCATCACTTTACTGTCACAACACTGAAGGTTTTCTTTAGAACAACTAGAAGGAGCTTCAGGTGATGATAATGGCATCATCTTTTCATCAGAAGCCAAAAACGGCCATTTTGGAGGAGATATTGTCATTCTCCAATGGGGAACTCTTCTTTCAGAATGATGTTGAGATACTTAACAGCGTGCAGATTTGTACAGGCTTTGAAATGTCTAAGGTCTCTTCATTTCTGATGCACGGCATCAGAGGTCGTCTTGTCATTTGACCTCAGTATAAAGAAAATTCACAGGCGTTGCTGAGATATTTCTGTTTCACTCAATTTGTCGGTTTTCTAAAACTTATACTGAAAATGTTTCCCCATCTCTATGTGAATGAAGACCAAATATAACATATACAATACAAGCAGGTATTTTATTTTGATTTTAGCAAAAAAGAAAAAAAAAAGATGCAATGTGAATTAATGTCCAGGAGATCAAGTTTGACGTTTTAAATCTGAGCCCTGTTTCATGTCTTCTGTTTGACACAAATTTCACATCGACAGGTTTTTCTCTTGTTGACGCTCTAAACACCTGTCAGCATGCTGTGGTCAACCACAGCCACGTGGCTTATTCTACTTTCTCAGTTTCCCCTGAAAACCAAGAGACCCGACTAAGCAAATGACCACAAAAGCAGGTCACCAACCTGATCCAGAACTTTAACTTGAGTTAAATTATATTTGTGAGTCCATCCGACCGGCCTGTGTCAGTCTTCATCCGTTTTCTTTTGCCAAACTTTGATGCCTACCAGCTGGTGAAGCAACAGCTTGAAGAGTACACAGAATTTTATGACAGATAAACACTGAGAAGCAGCAGACTTTCCCAAAAATCGAGCATTTCCCATTCAACTCCCACTATGTTCTGCCGAGTGTTGCTGTTAGTTAAGTAGTGCAAAAAAATAAAAAATAAACAGCCTTGGAAAAACCTTTGTCACCTTTTCAAGACTGACAGTAACTTCTTTCTCATCCTTTTTTTTTCCCCCCATTGCAAGTTCTAAGACAGGTTCTATACGGTAAAGAAAATTTTAAAAAGAGCTACTACGTTTCAATTGTCCTTGCAAAATCCATCGTCTGCATCACTTGAAGACTTCGGGGTCTCTGCTTCAGTGCTCCTCGGGGATTAATCAGATATCCGTGCATCAATAGGATTCACTGTTTACTTTTTGGTAATTGGCTGCGCAGGTGTGAACTTTCTACTTCTAATTGCAAGGAAGAACCCAAGAGGACGGGTCTTCCTTTAGGCCGGGCGCAGACCTCAAACTGGTTTGACTTATTTCCCCCCCCCCCCCGGTCCCATTTCACATAATTTAAGGAGATGAAACAAAGAGTCTCGTTGCAGATTTGTTGGAAAAGAGAAGGAAATGCGGTTCTGAGATGGCGATAAATTTCTGCAGCGAGAAGATTCAGAAATATTAGTTATTATTTGTTCTCTCTTGTCAGGGTTGTCTTTAGATGGGTCATAGGTGGCTGCGTTTCCATTACTTTATGTCATTTAAATAATTGACGTCCGATTTCCAGACAGTTAATAATTTAAGTATTTGAATTATGTATGACCAACCGAAGTGGTTTCCCTCAGATAACAATTCTTGCCACGTTTGCCACAGTAACAGGATTGCAACGAATCTGGTGACAAATTACATCGACGTGAAAAATAAACAGCACTTTGCATCTTTACTTTTCGATTCAGCTCAGAAAGTCGAGACTTGATTTCGTTCAGGTGGTCCTGGAACGTCTTTAGACATAATTTATCCCAGAACTTATCGACAGTAGAAAAGAAAACAGCGCTACCTCCATTAGACATGGGCGTTTTCATGTTCAGATTAAAATTTTGGTGATTTTAAATCATTAACCCGTTTAATTTGAGCCATTTTGTTTGTCAACGGGACCACGGACTCAAAACAAATTCATTCCTAAAATTTCTTCCTTTTTGTTTAGACTTGGACAACAGCGAAGCCAACGAGCGACTGAAGTTCGGCGTTCTTAAGAGACTCCCTGAGGTACTGATGTGTGGCCACATTAATCATTAAGATTCTTGATTGGTTTAGAAAGTTAACTCATCATCATTCCTAATAAGTTTATGTTCAGATTAAAGTGTGTGTGTGACAGTTTAACATGGAGGAAGTTGAGAGAGTTTCCTTCTCCCAAACTAACTCCAATTACCTAAGAGTCTGGAGTTATTTTTGATCTCATTTTCCTCAAGCATGTCTCATAATATTTGTGTAACCACCAAGAGTTCAGAGTGAGAAAGGCTTTCTGGAGACTGAGGTTCAGACTGTTGTGTAACGTCCGTGTGTTCCGATGCGTGTGTTTGTTTCATCCGCAACGTGATTAGAGGAATGTCGAGTGTTTTGCATCTCTGGTGCATTTCCCGTCCGTCAGACTTTTGTAGAGTGAGTTTGGTGGGCAGCAGAAACTCAGACTGAGCCTCACACAACTGAGGCAAAGTAGGATTTGCACTGTGAGAAACTCAGCCAGCTAATACAACACGTCCAATACAAATGTGTTCAACCATAGCTAAGCTAATGTATTTATTTATTCAAAAAAGGTTAAACTGACTACTATAAAAAGAAGAAAGGTTAGCAAATGTTAGAGAGCTATCTGACATAGTCTAAAAGGTCTTTACAACAGAAAACTTTAGTTTGGAGGAACTTCTATAAAACATGGGAAGGACTTTTCTGGAAATCTGATGTTCAATTATTGATGTATTTCTTTTCTTCTTAAATTTTGTCTAGAATAATGCAACTGAATGACAGGAATGAATGAATCATTTGAAATCACAAAACCTGTAACTTTTGATGAACTTTTCTTTTACAACAAGGCGGGTTTTCGCTCCGACAAAAGGCCAAAATAACGGTGGTGAAGAAGAACCAAGGTAGATCAAAGGCAACCAAACTGATGCCAAATTAGACCTAAACTCAAAAAGCTTTATGCCATTAGAGAACTAATGGCATAATCAGTAGCAGCTGTTTGGGGACCAGGAAAGGCAGTCGGGCAAAACTGACTGGAGTGAACGGCTGATGTAAACCAGAACAACAAAACACAAAATAATACACAACGCACTTTAGAAACAGACCTGTTCTAACTTCAAAACCATAGGTGAAGGCTTACTTTGAAAATCCAAATGACATACAGTAATAGTGATATGTAGCCTTTTCGTGATGTTGCCTGCTTGTTTGTGTGTATTGTGAAAAGTACAGTTTTAACCAAAAGAGGAAAAAAAAATTATTGTGTAAGAGAAAACCCCCCACAACCCTGTTAATATAAATAAAGCAACTGGTTACATAAAGTTGGCAGTTGTACAATATTTAACTAATAGTTCACATGAAATCTGGTGAAACAATGTTCTATAACTTGAAGAGAAAATCTAATTTTGAGAGTGCAGAAGCTGAAAATGAATACATTTGAGTTGATTGAGTAACTTCTTGTTAAAGTTTTTGCTAGTGTACTGAAGAAGAATAAATAATTATCCTACTGTAGTTCCCCTTTTTTGTGTGACTTATGACTGTTGTGCCTCTTTTTTTTGGACCCCTAAAAATAGTACAAATTCCCCAAAACCCCTCATTAGCAGTCCACCCTTCGATAATGCCGCCGCTTTCCATTTGGTGGAAGAGAAAGGGCCAGCTGTTCAGAGACTTCGGGGAATCTCTCTTTCTCCCTCCGTTTCTGCAGGAAGCGTGAGCCACATCCTAAAATGTAAAGTGTTTTTCTGTGTATGTGTGTGTAGCCTATGGAGCAAAGGATCTACCATATGTGGGATCATCCTGTCAGCTCAGCCTCAATCTCCAGAGATTATGTCAAGACGCTGCTGGAGAAACACAGCAAGAATAAGGTAACATGGAACAAAAAGAATGTCTCAAATATACACTAGTGACATATCAGGAGCCAATTTTATCTGCAGGACGGGTTTCGGGGACTTCTCTCAGGTGCTGCTGATATGTCTGAATTTGAATCTTATGAAAAAATGTCTTTATATTATTATTTTTTAATCTTTCTCCGCAGGGATTTGTATTTACCGGGAGAGACAAACCTGGCTTCAGACCCGAGTTTCTTCCTCTAACCTATCTGGCAAAAATGCTCTCTGATATCGAGTCACAAGGTAGAGTACACCTCTACATCCTGCAGGAAAGGCCTTTAAAGAGGCTTTAGGAGCAGGAAGTAAAGATGTTTTTCTTTTTTTTTTTGTTTCTTCCCTCCGCGTCTTGAACTCCTGAACAGCTCTGAACCCTTTCGAGGAGAAGGAAAACGTGGACGCCAGGTTTGTGGAGGAGTCGGCCCTGATGCAGACGCTGATCCAGCTGGGCTTCGAGGAAAAATGAAGCGGCTGGAAGGGCGACGAAGGACGCGAGACGGATGGCGAGAGAGAAATAGATGAGGAGGAAAATCGGTTTAAGGAAGAGTAAATGTCTAACTGGGCCTTGAAGGCATGAAATGGATTGGTGTCGGAAAATGAGAGTCGAGTGGAGAAGTCATGAACAGAATCGCACTGTTAAATGAAACATTAATGCGGGAGCAGAGGGATTATAGGGAAAATCTTAGTGCAATTCACAAAAGAAAGGACTGCATCTTAATACTTCAGAATATAATTGTAAAGTAAAATTATTTCAGTTCCATTTAAAAAGTGATCATCATATATAGACTGATTACACAAACACGTGCAATTCAACTATTTTTTTCTAATCACTATTATGGTTTACAGTGAGAGCAATACAAAAAAAATGTATTTTTTAAAATCAAAATCTTATTAAAAGCTCTGAAAAATGTTTCTTTCAGAATCAGCTGAAATGTCTAAACCCAAATCTTTGACTTACTGTTTATCCTAACAGCACACTGCTGGAGTGCAGGGCGTTTATGTAAAACACATAAACCAAAATGCATTTATAAATTTGACAATAAAATACTCTTTTTCAAAACACTTTCTGCATGTCTGATTTCTGATTACGATCCAACCAACACTCCATGAAGACTGCTCTCTTGACAGTTGTCCATTGACACTCTTTATCCATTGTTGTCAATAAAGAAGCTGGGTTCTATTCGACCGCATGAATGGAAAGTTGGGTGGAAGACAAAAAGCATAGTCAAAACTTTTAGGAAGCCGTTTTATCTAAATTAAGACATTGGAGCTAACATTTTTTTTCTGTCATACAATTATGACCATTGAACATCAACAGTATTTAGAAATCACATGCTCTTCAGACTCCTTGTACAAGGCTGAGCCTGAATTAGATGGAGCCGGGTTAATGGAGAGACGGTAGCATGTGGCTCGGATAATCAACCCCCGCAAAGTCACGAAGGGAGCGGTAGCTGTAAATGTTTGTCTTTTTTTGTTTGGTTAAATGTTCCCAGTTTTCAAAGGGTTTTTGCTTTGAGTACATACCAGCTCCTTACTCTTTTTTTTTTTTTATCAGATTCATATTTTAAGACCATGCATGCTCATAAAACTGGAATGTAAATATTCATTTTTATTTTTTAAGCAAGGTCCACGAGGACATGGACGAACTAAGTTAACACAGACTAAACAACACAGACTACTGAATTTTACCTAACAGGACACCTTTGACATGAATTAATGCATAAAATGTGAGCCAGACCTTTTCGTCCAACATTAGTGTCTGACCTCACAAGTGCTCTCTTTAGAAAAAAATAGCTAAAAGTTCCTATAAACACACATATTAAGCTGGTATAGTTTAAAGGCTGGGCAGAGTTTCTCTAAAGTCAGAAAGTAGGAGCAGGGATTTCGCAACATAAGTCACATTTACGGAAAGGCCAACCCTCTGCGTTTTAACACTTCTATGACATTTCACATTAAAATCATTCATGTGAATCTTTCTCTAAGTGTAAACACATGAGTCCTTCTCCATCTAATGGTCTCCCCCACACTCTGTTATGCTGCCTGTGTTATGTAGCAGCCTAACAGTTTGGGGCCAAGTTAATCTGACAGCTTCCAGCGTGAATCTGCAATGGATGATCACACACACACACACGCACCCACACCCACACCCACACACACACACACATTTGTCCCTTGGTTTCTTCTTAGGAAGTTGACTCACGCTGCTAGCAGCACCACTCAGGTTTGACATGGTGCACACCAGCTGTTTCAGGACTTTTCCTCCTGCACATCTTTTCTTTCCACACACTCATTCATAAACTCTCACCAACCATCCGAGGCGTCCGCTCATTCATTTGGGGGAATTTATGTGTATGTCAAAATGTGTTTGATTTATTTACGGCAGACCTTTAGCTGTTTTAAGGCTCAACTTCGTGTTTTGGTGTGACGCGCCCCCCAAACTTTGAACTTTCCACCCAGTTTGCAGCCCTCCGATTCATCCCGCTTTAACTTTGAATCTCCTCTACCGCCTCCTCCAGCTCTCCGTCCCCTTCATTTAAATTCTCCCCTCTCCCTGTCATTCTTCATGCTCTTTCATTGCTTCCGCTTCCTCTCCAGATTTATCATTTTTGTGCGCTGCGCGGCCTCGCCTGGTCATCTCGTGCTGCTCAGACAGACCCGTTGCAATTTCTTTAAAGATTACGACCGTGAAGGGTGAAACGACAACAAAGCCGGAGAATGTGTGGGAATAGTTTAAGAAATTAATCTCATCTTCAAGGGAGAGGAGGCCTGAGCAGTGCTGATGTGTTGCCAGGCAGAGTGGCGATTGTGAAATCATACAGGGGAATGTTATGCGTCCCCCACCGGTCCCTTGAACATGATGTCACACTTTCGCTTTCACAGAAAACATATGGAAACGAAGGAATACTGGTGAAACTGAAAGAAGACAGAGAAATTTAAATGCTATCAAGATTATTATTATTTTTTTTCCCCCTAAAAGTCCAAGGGATTTGGTCTTCGATTGCGATAGTGCCTCATGTAGGCCCCCTGTGGGCGGGGTTTGATGGGCTGGAATTGTCCGAAGGGTACGGGCAGACCGAGTGGGTCGTCCAGGGGGATGTACGCGTTGGGGCGGACTTCGGCTGTGGTGTACACTCCGTTTGGCAGCTGCCTCCACTTATTTTCCTCAGCAAGCTGCACACACACACACACACACATGCACACGCGCGCACAGAGAGATGCACACACACCAGAAGCACTTTTAATATTTCATGCGAGATTGCATGACCTTGAATTAAATACTTAAATCCAGACCTTCCTGAATCTTAATCATGGAAATGGAAATAAAAAAAGAAAAGCAGAAGATAATTTTTACTATCCAGTTTTTTTTTGGGGGGGGGTTTGTCTTTCAGATGCCTGGATGCCCAGGTGTGCATCTCAAACAAGCAGTTTGCAAAAGTAAAAAACCAAACAAAAATAAAACTAGACCCTGTACTGATGCGCTGGGAAAACCATGTCATCATGTGTGAGCATGACGAGCATTTTTACTCTTTCCGTTGACTTGTAAGGTCATTCAGAATCGCCAATCTAATTTTTATTATTTTTTTTGTGTGTAATTTCTTAATTTTGTCAATTAAGACTACATTTGTTCGGCAACAGCAGTTCAAAGTGTTTTACATCATAAAAACACAAAAATATAAAGAACACAGTAAACAATTGAAACATGACATTTTGCTAATTATGTTTTGATGTTTGATTTTATATATATGTGTGTGTTTAGGCTTGAGCTTATTCTAACAGAGACAGGAGAAGTAGTTTCTGGCTCTAATGAAGTCGATATTGGCCCACAGAACAAAGACAGTGGTGGGCTCAATTGATTTGAACCCGATGTGGGTGATGGATCAATGTCTAACCATGGTGGACCTCGCTGAGTGGAAAGGAAGGAAGGAAGGAAGGAAGGGGAATAAAAAAAAAAAAGTCCAGTTCAACCGAGTCCATTTCTTTGTCATTTTCCTCAACTTCCAGCCCACAACAGCAGGCAGATAAACTGCTGTTAAATCTCAAAAAACATAAATGCTTTAATTGCCATATGCACACAAAGCAGCTAAGAAAGGCTTTAGGTCTAAAACAATTAAAAATGAGCCAATGTAGCTTCTTTTTTCCAAAGTAGTTTGTATTGTTTTTGGCCTTGGGCTTGCATTTTATTTTATGATATTTTGGGAACTTTGTTTTATTTTTGACTAGGAGACAGTTTTGATACATATTTCAGCCTTCTTGCTTGAATTTTTTTTCCTGCATGTTTCCTTAAAAGACGCAGCTTTTCACATACAAGTTTGCCTACCATTTCTTCGACGCTCTATTTGCTCTAAAGTGTGCCGTGTGAATTTCTAACAGTCGAGTGCTTACCCTCTTTTTCTCTTCTTTTTCCCTCTGCCTCAGCCTCCTGTCTCGGACCACCCTCCTCCAGATCTCCTCTGCGCTGAAATACCACGGCACGTTTGACACCTGGTGACACCTGGTCATCTGAAAAAAATGTCAAAATGAATAAATAAATAAATAAAAACAAGAGCAGGGCAGGAAACGTCCTTTTCACTGAACTTGCAGTGACACGGCTCAGTTCAGATGGTTGCTTTGGTACCAGAATCCGGCTAACATTGCACCTCTCCATCTTTTACCTCAGGGATCAAGTGGCGTGCTGCAGGCACGCATCAGCCCCAGCGATTCCACGGGGTATTAACACAGACCTCTTGAAATATTTACAGCGCATGAAGGGAATCCACAAAAAAAAAAAAAAAAAAAAAGAAAAGAAGTACTTTCTGAAATATTTAGAGGCAAAAAGAAAAAAGTAAACACGGCTTGAAATTCACTATTTCTTTTTAAAGCAGTGATTTAGATTTAGAGTAAAAGAGCAGAACATAGTTCTTTAAATACAAAGATATAACGGAGTTTCTGCAGTTTAAAGTTTGAATACTCTTTCGTGGTATTTGGAACATCAGGACCAGACATGTGGGATGAAATGTCAGCCATAACATTAGTTTATATGCCTGTTATGTGAAAGTATGTCAGGGGAGAACACATACAAAGGATGTTAACATGGACGGCTTCATTTTATTAAAGCTTCGTTTACACATTTACAAACAGTAGCAGGGTGGTGGACTGGAACCTCGTCTGACTTGACCGCCGCTCTCTTTGAGTCTTTTAATGTTCGGACAAACTGGCTGCCTGCTTCACGGTAAGCTCTGCAAGATCAGAGCTTTTCAAATTGTTACTATTACTGATGTTCCTCTGAATACAAATCTGCTGGAAATGAAAAAAATAAATACATTCAGGGTTCAGGTAAGTTCTAGATTCCACATGTGTTATTAAAATTGTTTGTCTTATTCCAATCTTAGAAGAAAGGCATTAGTCTAGCAAAACAATACATGGCCTTCACATATTTAATTTTGTGTCAAAATACAAACAAAAATCCCAGTAGTTTGCACAATTAATCATGTAAAATCCCCCAAAATATCGCAGGGTTTTTGGTTTTAATGTGCCAAAATGTAAGCGAAGAAGTTTGAACATTTTTGCAAATCTCCATAGAGTTTTATTTTTTACAGAAACTGGCTTATCCACCACCAATTCTTGTAGGTTATTACAAATGTAAAAAGAAAAAAGTCCAACAACAGACGAGCGCTGCGGTCGCTTTGCTCATGTTCTCAGATGATGACAGCTTAATGTTAAACTTCAAAGTGGCTGTCAAAAAAAGTAAAAAAAGAAAAAAAGGATGTCATGTGGACCACATCCATCTTTCATGTTGTTTTTTTGATGAGTTGGTGACAGGGGTGAGAAATACTGACAGAGCAAAAGACAGATAAAAGACTGGAGGCAATTTTCCTAAAAGTGGGCTGGAAATACTCCACACACGGAATCACAAAGCACTGAATTCTACATTAGAAATTTAAAAATGTTAACAGTGTAATGTCATTTATGTATTCCGTTCAACTATTATTTAACCAGGAAGTTCACAGAGATAATTCTCTAATGGGGGAGACTTGGCCAAGAGGCACAGTGGTGAACAATATACAAAAATAATTAAAAGACAATTAAAATGGCATTAAATTTACTCAAGGTCAAATGGGAAAAATCCAATAAGATCAGAGGATCAGATTAAAATCTCAATAAATAATTTAAAAGCGGTTGATGGGAACGAACTGTGAGCATTTTAGTGTGACTTTTGCAAATTATTCTTTTCGTATTCTTTTTTCCTACCAAGTTCAGATCAGAACAGAAGCTGACCCAATGAAAGTTTTAGACTGGAGACAAAAACAAATATGACAGTAGGTAACTCGCCAGCAGGACAGCCTTATAAATAAATACAGGCCAGTGCTGTTGCCCCCTTTGTTTTAGTGAAGGCCATGAGAGCAAAGCATAAAGCGCCTGATTCGTCCTGAAGGCAGCATTTGTAGTGAAAGCACTTTGAAATATTGCATCCAGACAACGGAGGACTAGAGGGAGCTTCATTCACGTAGATAATGTCTCCATAGTTCAACGGAGTCGGGGAAGTTGGTTGTTTGTACGAGATTTTTCCTCCCAAGCAGATCGAGACAAAATTTGTGCCGATGTAAGAAGCGAGGAGCAGATTTGCACTTTTGTAACAGATGTTCCATATAGGGGTGAAGAAGGCAGTCATAAATCCATATGGCCAAATATTTGTACATGAACAGTTTGGTTTTTTTTTTCCTGCTGACGTCCAAGTGTTTTTAAACTCCACGTTTTGACAATGAACTTCTGGGATGTTCATTGTCAAAACAAAAGACGTTTTGAAGTTGAATGTCTTTGGATTTAGGAAACTAATATGGCTTTCAAATATTTTGGTGCGTATTAAAGTCTGAATATTTGTCTACGTTTTCTTCCTCTCCACCTTTTAGCAGAGGCAGCATGTAAGCTGCTTTTGAACATTTAAGAATAATATTAGTTTGGATACTCAAATTAAGATGAAAGAACTTTGAACTGGGACCAAATAAACAGTTTGAGCTTCAAACATTTGCTGGGTTATTAAAAGATTCAGAATTTTATTTTAATAACACTCTGTTCAGGCTACCTTCCATGATGTGGAGAGGCTGTTGAAACCGTCGAGTCCGAAGATCTCTTCCAGCTCCTCCGGCGGCTTCGACGGACCGGCCTCCTGCTCCGCTCCTTCTCCCTCCGGCTGCTGCTGACTCTCACGCTCAGGCAGCTTCGAGTGTAAAGAACAGGGAGAAATTCACCGTGCATTTGCAGCACATCTTTTAAAGTTCATGAGGTAAAATTACAAATGAAAACATCAGCAGGCACCTGCTCCATTTTATTGTGGAGTTCTGAAGGTGGCGAGCCTCCGTCCTCCGGCCTGTTGGACTCAACGACGCCTTCCTGCATCTCGTCTCTGGCTTCTGACAGCTGGAGGATGCGGAAAATTGGAGCTGAAGACAACATATTGACATTTCATGCGGTACGAATCTAATGCTGCTTCCTCTAATTTCTGCAGGGCGTGATTTCCCCTGCAGAAATTAAACACGCCCTCTATCCAGGGATTAAATAGATAAAAACTGAGCACATTTCTTTTGCTAAATGTAGTGTGTTGATGGGAGCTTCTTCCCACTGGGTGAAAAGTCTCTGGGACAGAAGTTGATGTCGAGACACAAACGCTGAAGGCAGAAGATATGGAAGTGAAGCAAGTAAAAAAGAAAAGATGATTTCTACGCATCCATACATTTCCCTGCTGAAATACTGTTTTATTTTACTTTTCTTAGTTTTTAGATGGGTCCATACAAAATAATAACTTTTAAGTGCTTTAAAAGCCGTGCATCATCGTCTGTAACTTGGTAAGGCAAAAGAAAAAAAAAATTAGGAATCAACACAATGCTAAATCTGGCATCAAGTCATCTCAGTGTTTTCCAGCATATGAAGAAGATCTGCACTTTTCTAAAAGTAACAGCCATGACTCAAACTTCTACTGAAATCTACTAATGTAGAGAACATTATGGGAAGTCTTTTTAATTTTTGAATGAGCGTGCACTCGGTCTGTAAATCTTTCAAGACTGTGTGGGAACCCTGGAGGAAGCTCTCGGAAGATGGAGTCAAAAGAGCTGCAGAGAGGGATTTGAAAGGCGCAAGGTGGACGTTTCCAATCCAACCTCTTAACCAACACACTTAACCTAAAAGCGATGCAGCCGAGGAGCGAGAAATTGGGAGATGGAAGAGGTGAAGAGTGGCGACACGGACCCACCAGAGCTCGAAAGGTTAACTGTTGACATCAACAACTGGAAGCGAAAGGAAGACAAACCAGGAAGTCAAAAATGCAGAGTCTGAGTATCTGAGAATCAGCTGAGCCTCTGGGAGTTAAACGAACAAACATATTTCTGGTTTACAGAAAATGGTGAGGGGAAAAAAAAAAAAACACCCAAAATCTAAAATAATCAGAAAACTGAGGATACAACTTACCTCACAACATCACTCGATGCTTGAAGCCTGCGCAGACCCAGGACAGCGAGAAACGCAGCAAGCGAATGTTCGGCTTTCAGACGTTAAAGGAATTCTTACTGTTGTCATGGTTACCAGGGTCACTAAACCCAGAAGTCCCGGCTCGGTTCTTAACCTCTGCCTTTTGCTATTCCTTGCACCGACATCTGGATAATGAAACAAATTATACCGACTCCCGCTCCCACGCGACCAGTTCACACATGAAAACACAGACTTGGCCATGCAACTGACATCTTGCTGCAGTGCAGTTGCTAAATATTAATGTTTATTCCCCAGTGAGTTCACGTTCCATGCAGCCACCTCTCATTTCTCTGTTTTTCCACCGTCTATGTTGAAATTTTACCTGCTGCTCTCTCTCTTTCATCTGTCGGTGTTCAGACAAAGCGATTGACTGCTTCACGGACAGCTCTGCAGAAACGGCCATCAGACAGAGGTTGATGTTGAAGATTTTGGCCCGCGCCTCATTCAGCTGGAAACAAGTAGGGGGAAAACAAATATGCAGAGAGGAGGTCAACAATTTATATTCCTTGACGACGTTTCAAAATAAATGTTGCTTTTATGCAACACGTCCACACAAATTGGTGGACAATTGTGAGAAGGGAAAGGATAGCTTGAAACTTTTTACAAGTATGAATGTGAAATTAGCAGCTCCCATTTGGATTGAAGCTCTTAATTAGCTCATTTCACTGTCCACTTAAAAAAAACACACAAACACAAATAACTGGTCTGCAGTGATATTAGCCTGATTTTTAAACCTTGAGCTTAAATTTGACTGAAGGGGGAAAAAAATGGATGTCACGTGGACCACATCCATTTTTTCTGTTTCTGCTTCTGATGAGTCGGTGGAAGGGATGAGAAATACTGACACAGCAAAAAGATGTAAAAGACATGCTGAAACTCAGACTCCAGTCTACTCTCTACCAGGCTATAAATTCAAAATGTCATAGCAGAATAAATGTGCAAAATTTAAAATCAGCCTTTTTAACGGTATAATGGCATCTTCTAGAGGATCCGGGTTACCTTCTTTGCCATGGAGAGGCTGTGGAGCCTGCAGCTCTCCGCCTGCTCCCCTAGCGGCTCCGACATCCGGGTCACCCGCTCCACCAGAACTTCTTTTTCCAGCAGCTGGCGCTCGCGCTCGGCCAAATTCGCCTCCAGCTTCGAGCGCACGCAGACACCGGGAGGAGAAAATTAGCTATGCATTTTGCAACTTGGCTCTTAAAGTTCACGAGATAAGTTGTGGGTGGAAACGTTAGTATGTAGCTACCTGCTCTATTTTCTTGACCAGCTCTGGAGCCGGTGGGTCGTCGCCCTTCAACTCCCGAAATTCAAGGGTACGAGTCACACTTTTCAGGGTCGCATCTCTTGCTTCTGACAGCTGAGGGATGCAGAAAATTGGCAAAAAGACACAAGGTGCTGATATGTGTGTGTGTGTTTGTATCATTCTCAAAGTGAGCAAAGTTCTAGCTACTCCCTTTGTTGAGTGCTTTCCCCCTTGCAGAAACTAAAGATATACTACCCTGGGATTAAGAAAAGATAACCAAACTCAACACCTTTCTTTGCTAAATGCAGTGCGTGGATGGGAGCTTCTCCCCACAAGGTGACAAGTCTCTGGGAAAGAGCGATAAGAGAAAATAAAGTTTAAAAAGCGCCTCAAGATCCCTGAAAGGGATTAAGCTTTTCTTATTTTGGTTTCGTGTCATCCCTTAAGACAGCAGAAATGAAAAGGGAAGCAAGTAGAAGTGAGATGAGTCAAAGGAGCTAGATGGAGAGAGAGAAAGAGAGAGAGAGAGAGAGAGAGAGAGAGAGAGAGAGAGAGAGAGAGAGAGAGGAAGAGAGAGAGAGAGAGAGATGTGAGAGGGGCAGGGTTGACGGTTTAGATTCAGGCCCTCAGCTGACACTCTCATCCCAAAAGTGCTGCAGTCAGTCAGAGTGAGAAACGGAGTTGGAGGAGGTGAAAAGTGCTGACATGACTGAAAGGTTAACTGTTCACATCAATGGAAGGAAATTGAGGTGTAAAAGTAGAATATATATATAAATATATATCAGTAATAGATGCCAGGACATCACAATGAAGTGTTTACATTACTACATTATCTGCAACGGATTAATTATACCAAACAGCCTGCAGCCTTTCTGTACTCATGGAGGGGAAATCTTGCATAGCATTAGCATTCAAAGGAAGTTTGTCAAAGTACATTTTACTCTGGTTAGAGGATTTAGAGATTTTGCAGAGTTGCACCCACTCACAGGAATGACAAAGAAAATGTGCAAAAAGGAAAAATAACTAACAGATAAAAATTGGTATGAGCTTGCGTTTTTTTTTTTAACTCCCCGGTTTTGTTCAAACAAGAATAACTACAGGCAATCCCAAAGTTTTGGAATACATCAACAAGACCAGCAATTCAGTAAGAATGCATGCACCACTTGGAAAAAGTATAGATTTTGCAGAACACCACATCGGTGTTTGTCTGAAATAGCATTCTCCCGACCTTTAAATCTATGTTGCCTCACACCAGCAAAAAAACAAACAAAAACAAAATCAACTAATGAGAGAGAGAGAGACGTGAGAGGGGCAGGGTTTCTTGCAGAACAAGTAGGAAAATGATTTTGTAACCTAAGTGCAGGAAAGGAATATCTTAACCTGCAGCTTTATATCTCATCCAAACTGTTATTTCAGATTAACAAGGTTTCATCCCTTCAAAATAAAGGTGTTCCATATCTCAAAGAATATGAGACTTGAGACGTTCAAGGAGCCATGGTGACAATAAAGAGGACATCGTTATAAAACAGAACCGAAAAGAAAAAAAAAATGATCAAAGAGAAAATATTGGACACAATTTTATGCTGCCCTTTAGTTCTGAAACAGAGGGGGCTGACAGCGGAGACCGAAAAGCCAGATATGCTCAAAGAGTCGGCAGACAGAGGCAGATGGATTTTTAAAAAATGGAAAAGATGGTATGAAGATCCATTTCTAAGAAAAAAGAGAGGGGAGAGAAAATGAAGAAAAACTGATGCAAGCGAACAGACCCGTGTCTGCAGTTTGGGACAACTAAAGCTTGTTAGTGGGACCGAGTCTGTCTGGCATTCATCATTGTGAAGTCCAAATTCTGCAACAAATAAGGCAAAAAAAAAATTTCAATGAACATGCAAATGCAAGCTGTAGAAATGCATAGTTATTATTCAAATAAGTGAATATTTTGCATATTTTTCCCATTTCCGAGAGAGATAAAAAACACCCTTTCGGGGACTTCCCTGCAGAGTCGTTGCACAGGGTTCAGCCAGGCATTACAGAAGTAAAAGCCATTTGTTTGTATTACAGCGTCTGCATCGCTCACATGTTTTAGTTGCAGTTGATAGCTCACTATTTATGTTTAAAGTTCTACAATAAGACATGTTCAAATGTGTCCTAACTTCTCATTATCAGAAGCACTTTAACCACAATGCATTCTTATGCATTAGGGTGGGCAGAAAGTAGGAAGATGATGGCTCATTTAAAACACACCTCCAGCTACTAGTTCACACTCTTCCCTAATTTTTGCCGTTTGACCATAAATAGATGGTGACAAGCCTGCGGGAATTTGCTCTGAGCCGCATCGTAAATAAATAATGACTCCTTTACATTTCCTCTCCTCCGTGCTCGACCTTTCAGTTCAGCATTACCGTCACCTCCCGGAACCATTGAGCACACACTTCGCGTCAAATAAACAACGCATGAGGAAGTGGAAGCAGAAATTGCTGTGGGATTGTGTGTTTGCAGAAGAAGAGGCCCTTCTCAAAACTGAGGGGAAGAAATAAAAGTTGTCAAAAGAGTGTAAGGTGTAGTGAAAATCTTTGACAAAATACTTTATATGATACTGAGCTTGTTGAGGTTTGACTATGTTGTGGTTTTCTAATTTCTAACGCCGAAAAAAATCCCTTGTGAAACGTTCCTTTTTAGTTTTTTTTTCTTCTTTTCCAAACAGAATAATGACATCATAAATATTAAACAGCTTTTCAATGAATTTGTAATTTATCGGAACATTTGGTCAGATCTGATCAAGACAAAAGCAGCAAAGATTTCAACAACTTCTTTTCTTTTCTGAAACTCAAACAAATTTCCAGGAGAACAGTGAACTTTTGATTAAAAAGTTACTTGGGGAGGGGAAATGATATGAGAGGGTTCAGAAAAACTAGAGACTGCAAAGTCACAGAACATTATGATGGCATCATAATGTTCTTCATGCAGCACAGGCGGATCACAGATGGACGGTGCAGGGTCTCTTCCTTGCTAAGTCCTCGGGGCAGCAGGGCGGTCATCCATCTCTCCGTCATGTTTTTGAGGTAAAACATGTTTATAGTCGACAGAAAATCACTTGATAGTTGTGAGACTGGAAGATTAATACGTAAACACCAACTATAGTCTTTAAAAAAAAGCAATCATTAAAAATAAACAGTGCTTAGCCTGGTGGGGGCACAAGTGAAGCCTGGTGGCCCGCCAGGCTTATAGTTCACTGAGGGAAACTGTGATGTATATTTAAATCATCCTGGATTTGTGACCTGAGAAAAGGTCATCGAACACGTCATTGGTTTATTCAAGAGGCCAATATTTATTTTACCTCACTCCTATAGATTATGAAATTAAATTTTTAACTTTTCTAATGTGTCGCGTTCCCAGCGCACCAGCATGAACTGAAATAAAAGTTGCCCAAAAAGGGTTTTTAACTTTTCAAAACAGCATTTTTTTTGGGTAAAAACTCAACTGCTTGTGACAACCACGGAATGTGTTAATCAACCATCTTAACTCTGCTCTGAAGCTTTTAATGCTGCTCAACTTCTTCAGTTCATCAGCAGCCAGAACAAGACAAGCATGTGGTTAGACCTGATTGATGCGTGTCCCATCTTCACCCAAATCCACCCGCAGTCACTTAAACGCGTCATGATGGATGGAACACGGAGCGTCTCCATCAACCTCGTTCTCTTTTCTTTGCTCAAGCATCAATCTTCTTTTCTCCGCAGTACCATCACTTGTAGCCTGTTTTTCTTTATATATCCGTCCTTTTGATGTCTGTCTCCTTGTATCCATCCATCCATCTCTGTGTCGGTGTCTGCTGCCTGCCTCCTTGTTTTCTTTGTCCGACAGTTACAAATCATTGCTGGGCTTCCGGCTTGTGAGTGCTGTAAACCATTCTGGAGATGACAAGCCTCCGCGCCGCTTTCTAATTTGCATTTCGTCTGCATAATTTCAGCTCAGCGAGTAGTTAACACGACGGCTTGAAAAGCCACACAATGGGACGGTACGCCGCACGTGTTACCATAAACTTGAATAATTACCCTATTTATTGACCACGTCCCAAGCTTGAGCAATTGCCTCATAATAAATATAAGACAAAGGGACGGATTAATAAAGCAGAAAGGTCACATATGTTCAAAATACAATATAAATTGTAATGAATATGGACATATACAGTGAGACCGCCAACAATACATAGATGCAAAGTCTCTATGGAGGAATTATTAGCTTGGTCAGCACTCGAACCGCAGCAGAATTAAATTTTGTGGTCAGACAATTCACAGCTTCGTGAGCTCTGTGTTTACAATCACTGAATCTTAGAGCAAAGTTATTATCATAATAACTCTGCTTTATAACGGCACAATTTCAGCCATGGATGTGCCAGATGATGCAGACAAAATAAATAAAAACTCTCACTTTCCAATTCCCAACAAAGAGGCAGTTGTTCTGTCTAGAGATTCTTTGCAGAGTTCATATGATGAATAAAACGAAGCCCAAGAGGCAGCAACCCAACCCTGGAATAAGTGGAAGATAACGGCTGGACGGATGGGTTTCCTGCTTTAAAATGGGCTTTTAATGCTATGCATCAAATGTTCACTCGGTTTAAGGATGTAAAAAAAAAAATCAATCAGAAGCTTAATGTAACCTAGTTTATGCTTTTCAGAAGTGTTTAGTATCTGCAACACCAAATTGAGCAGGAGTCTCAGCCATTTGACCCAAAGCAGTCACCAAATACTAAAGGAAGCTGGAGAGGCTGTTCAGGGGCGACATGCCACAGACAGAACCCAGTCAAAAGAAAGAAGTCCTTGCTACAACATGAATACGCTCAAAAGCAAACTCAAACCCCATTTGATTTGTCCAAAGTGCTGACGAGACAAAGTTAAACGTCTAGGAAGCAGCGCCAATTTAATATGAGCCTTATGGGCACTCGCTCAGGGCGGCACAGAAGAAAGGGTCGCACCAGCAACATGCAACACACAGAGACTTTAAACTGCATCATATGTGGAGAAAACAAATTTTATGACAGCAATAGCTCAGCTGATGGCCTCCTCTGGGAAGGTGCCACAGCTAAGCAGAAAGCTGTGCAAGATGCAACTTCTATGAAG